ATACACGGTCTGACCACCCGACAGCGCTACGATGGTGGGTTGGTTCAGGATGAGGGGGATTGCGTTGGACAACAGCTCGATGGCGATGCTCAGCGGTGCTTCTGGCTGACATTTGCGACGTCATGCTGGTGCTGTGAAGATTCCCAGCAGCGAGTCCCCGACCTCAAGTATCTGGCCACGGCGCGGAACGTCTTGGACATGCGCGTCGACACGTCTCCGGAGATGAAAATGATCATGCAAAACTGTCTAAAAGTCCTGTAACCTCTTTTTTCGAATATACCATTACTTAGTTTGGAAGCCTTTTGAATTTTGGACAGAATTTTAGACATTTTACTAAAGTATTTTGGAGCGTTCTGAACACATCCAAAACCATCCCTAGGCCCGAACACGCTGCTACCACCAAAAATCTACCAAAGAAAAATGACATTTTTGGTTGTTTTTGGTGTATTTTTGGGATAAATTAAAACATCCGGATTGACAGATCACCATATGCTATCACGAAGCTGCACCGGTAACATAACTTTCTTTGATTGCAAGAAGCACGCAATTCATATTTTTGAAAAATAAATCGTGTGGCTGGTCCCCATTTCACATTCGCAGACCCCCCCCCCTCGCAGTCGCGCCTACAAGCTGTGTTGTTCACATTCCTCGCGGCCGAAATCGTACGCTGTACTCATCTTGCTATACGCCCTGTTCTGTGTTCTGTGTTCACTAATATCTTGTAGTCGCAGGAAGCGCTCTCCTCTTCGAGGATGGAGTCTGGACAGAGAAAAACACAGCGACAGGAACAGGAACTCGACCGCGTCGAAGTGCGACCCCTCAAGCGAGCGAGACAAATTTCTTCACAGAGCCAACCGACCCGACTGCCTCCTCTTCATCGAATTGGTCACGGAGGAACGCGACTAACCTCAAAGCAGCACAGGGAACTGAGTGATCTGTATACCTTACCTGTTATGCCGACCACCAAGTCCTGTGGGAAGCCACGCGCTCAAGACGAACTCTGGGAGGCATCATTGCTGAAAACACTCAAGGATGACGAAGGTGAGGATGCTCGAAACGAGGCAGCGCTGGCAGAGGTGCTAGGCCAATTTGATAAGGAAGACAGGGAGATTTCGTCGGATGGCAGCAGTGATCCCGACTACGAAGACGAAATGGTGTCACCTGATGATGACGATACAACCGAGATTGAAGCTGAAGATGGTCTGGAATCGAAGCTATCAGGTAATGACAATGTCAACGCCAGAGTGACACCAAAAACACACAAAAAAGCGACACCAAAAACAGAACGTGAAACGTGTACCGGATCAGAAGATGATGATGGTCCTGCAGACGAAGATGACGCTGGACCGGTTGTCGGTGGATTCCTTGAGGGTTTTCCCATGTACTGGAATTCGTGGGACGACTTCTACACGGCCTTTGACGATTTTCAAGCTGCAACTTTTCAGCGCTTTCCTGAGCGTTCGAGTACATCCATCATTACGAGGAATAATGCAATCTGCGCAGCACAAAAGAAGGCCCGGGAGCAACATGTTATAAAGAGGGCAAAACGTGGAAACACGAAGGTGGGAAGACGCAACCAGGACGTCACGGGAGGAGCATTGCTGCCCGAGTCGTGGGACAAGTACAGTAGGGCATTCTTGTGTACGCATGTGATGCCGTACGAAGCGCGCGGAGGAGGGAAGCGACAGCACGAAAAGGTTCGCAATGTGGGCTGCAAAGCGCGAGTTAACGTCCGAGTAGCTGCAAGACCGAGTGGATCTGACTTTCATCTTGTCGTTAAGGCAACCCAATCCCACAATCACCCGCTGTCGGATCACCAGTGGTACAGCTATGCTAAAAACCGAAGGATTGAGGATCCCGTTCTACGCCAAGATGTTGCTGTTATGCATCGCGCAGGCGCGAAGCCGCGCGGAATACTTGAGTATCTCCGACAGAGGACAGGTTTAGTTTGTCTTCGGTATATTTATGGTGGGTTTTTGGTTTCTAACCTGAAGTATGCATCTGATATGTAGGCAAACGAACGACGCTGAGAGATGTGCACAACATGATACAAGATGCGAAGCAGTCTTTCAGAGGCGGGCGTTCGGACACGGACAGAGCTTTGGCTGTACTCGATGAATTCTGTGAGCTCAACAGTGGCAACATGGCAGAGGTCGTGGCAGACAATGTGTCCAACGAGGTGCAAGTGGTGACGTTTCAAACTTCTCGACAGAAGCGTTTGTTTGCTGCCTTCCCTGAGGTGGTATTGGTAGACTCAACTCATAATACCAATGTTAACCGCTATAAACTCTTCAGTTTTGCAGTTCACGACGTCTTTGGGAGGGTAAGAGTGCATGTTTGAAATGAACACCAAAAATGCACCAAAGTAATCTTTGTTTTTGTTTTTGGTGTGTATACAGGGTCAATTTGTCCATCATGCACTTGTGCGAACTGAAGAAAAGGGCAACCTTGCTCGTGCCGTTGCCTCGTTCAAGAAGCATAATCCAGATTGGGATAAAATTCGAGTGGTCATGACGGACAAGGCGATGCACGAAAAAGATGTACTTATGGAAGCATGGCCAAACGCCAGGCAGTTGCTGTGCAAATGGCACGTCGAAACGTGGTTAAAAAAACAGTGTTCTCGATTGGGAGGCCTTGGTAAGTTGGAGACGAAGACTCTCAAGACGATTATGAAAGGGCTGGTGAATGCGGAGTCCCAACAGCATTACGATGATCTCAAAGCTGCAATGCTGAAGACTGTAGGCAACAACACTGAAAACTTCCTGTACAAAAGCTTCGTTCAGCACTGGGACACAACTATCGACGAGTGGGTGATGTTCAAGCGCGGAGACGTAACGCATCTGATGAATAACACTAACAATCGACTTGAATCCAAGTGGGGACGGCCGAAGGAGATTGTCAGCGGCACCTTCGCCATCGGCGAGCTCATTTCGATGCTTATAACGATGCAAGAGTATGCAGAAGAGCGCTGTTTGGCGGAGTTTAACAGGGTTAGCGGGAGGCCTCCAGTCTCAGAAGATCCGGAGTTGACTGCAGTGGCACTTCAACTCAGCAGCTACGCTTTCAAGATGGTTGCACGGCAACACGAGCTCGCCACGGGCCCGAACACTAGCTATGACTTCGATGCAGTTGATAATGGGAAAACGACGCTGACAAACCCAAAGACCGGTGAATCTCACAAAGTGGATGCGCGGGTAAGTTTTGGTGTTGTTTTGGTTTTTTGGTATTTGGTGTACCTTTGGTTTTTGGTGTACGAATTTCTAACAATTCTTGAAAAACTTTCTGCGTGTAGCTGCATATTTGTGAAGACGTGCCCTCTTCCCTGTCGTCACGTAATGTACGTGAGAGCCAAGTCAAACTACGAGACCGTGCTGCCCCCAATGCGGCATTTTGCGACAAGATGGATTGTTCAAAGCTGTTCGAATAACATTGACGAAGGCGAAGTTACCCCTGGAGGCCTCAATAGCGTGCATTGCCCACCACCACGAATGCCACGAGCAATCACTAGTGAGGCGAAGTACAGTCAAGGCAAGCAGCTTGCTGAGCAAGTAGTCGATACCCTGTCCATACAACCTTCAACTACATTTCGATTGGCAATGAAATGGCTACAGGGATTTCACGAGGCGTTGCAAACCGGGAATATGCACGAATTCACCGGGCTAAATCTACCAACAACTGTCGATTTTGCCGGCCTCTCACAAGTGTCTTCGGTGGGTGATGTTACGCTATCGCAACTTCCTTTTGGAGAAAGTGGTGCTGATATTCTGGATTCTGAACCGCCAAAGGAGACAGTTACTGTGCTAAGCCAGGAGTCTGGTGATGTTGAAACGGAATCTAGTGCAACACCGAAAATGAGCAGCACGCAAGAAAGTATCACGTTTGCGCCCCCTCCAAAACGTAAAGGCCTATGCAGGCGAGCTGAAAAACTAAAAGCGGGTGCTGAGGAAATGCAAGAGGCAAAAAAACTGCGGGCGGAGATAGCTGAAGAGCGGAAGACACGCTCCGTGAAGTTAGCAGAAATGACAATACTTAGTGGCCCTTACAGCAGATACACGGCGAAGCCACTCGTTGACAAGCTGAACCTTCCTCCTGTTGAAGTTCAAGGGGCATTTGATATCCGGAGGTTCAATGTTGGTCAAGCCGTTCCAGTTATCAGGGCTATCCCGCAGCTAGAAAAAATCAAAGGAGCTCTTGACACAATGGCGGCTAAGAATAAGACGGATGAGCTAGCTCGCTGGGATGACTATGGTTTCGCTACGTATGGGCAACTCAAGCTAATGACAGACGTCGTCCAAGCTAAAAACAACTTTGCATTGGTCGAAGCTACGATGGCGTGGGTGGATACAGTTGACTTTCATGTCGCCAGCATTGTTCATCCGTTCAAGGATACCGAAGACGTCACCAAGGTAAAGATACTTATGTACCGAAAATGTACCAAAACCGCACCAAAAACAACAAACTAACTTCATTTTCCTCCCAACAGGATACACATAAGCATACTGTGGACAACATGAACTTAGGCTCGTGGTACGCGGGTCGTCATGTACAACTTGGATGTGAGTTTCTTGACTTTCGTGAAAATTTGTGGCTGCACACTGGGTCTATCATTGGTGGTCTCTTGTTACTGCGCGAGACGTACGAATCAGTCGGTATCGTAAACCCAAGATTTCATGATTTCGACCATCCCGACCAAAAGACACGAACAGCGAAAGCGTATGGAGCTACTGCGTCCGGAACCAAGAGAGTTATCAGTGTTATCAACCTGGGCAATCACTGGGGGGCGTTCTTCGTGAACGTCGAGACAACGACATGCTATTTGTTTGACCCCTTGCAATTAAAGAGCAATCTCTCCACGCTGAAGAAAGCTGTCGCTACGGTCGTCGAACCTATGCTCGGCATCACGGACCAGCTCTCTTATGAAGCCATTACTGGATGCCTGCAGAAGGACAGTTCGTCGTGTGGAATATGGTGCCTTGTTGTTCTGGAGCTGCTACTGTTCGGTGCAAACCCCGAAAACTGGGGAGACTATTGGAGCGATTCGATGTATGACGTTGTGGGCTACCTACGCATGCGCTATCTGCACAAAGTTATATCATTAGAGCGACGCTTAAGCGTTACATTCGATAATGTGGAGTAGATGACAGTGTCAAAATAACATGAGTATCTTTTGGCTGTGTCAAACGTTTTGGTATAACACTAGAAAGCTTACCAAAATCAAACGTCAAAGACTTAGCATTTGTCAACCAGGCGCCCTTTGAAACTTTGGAAAATATGAAAACCGTACAGTGTACATAATTTAAGTCAGTGATCTATCCTGTCACTTATATCTCCACCAAATGCCACCTGTTGAATGCCATGATTTTATTTGTGTTTTGACGTAGTACTTATACAGAAATAAAATACAACAATGTGTTCACGTAAATTACTGAGACATTTGGGCGTATGTTATCACATCATCCACTCATCACCCACTAAAATGGTATTATCAATTTGTGTCACTTTTGGTGGTAGCAACACGGTCCCCCTAGGCCCACCATAATAAAAAAAAAAAGATCAAAAGTGGGCCGAAACAATGCGCACTTTTTTTGATACAAAGCACTTTTTTTGGGTGTCCAAACTTCTAAGTCAAGATTCTGTCTGAACTTGGAGTTGTGTATACTTTTGTAAAGTGCATACAATTAATATTTTAATTAAAAAAGCAGTAAAATTAATTATATACATCCGAAATAAAATGACATCAAACTTTAAAATCCCGATGTATTGTTTCAATAATTGATTTTGCGCTGCCTAATTGGGCCGCCAAAATTAATATTGTCAATTCTTCAGTCCATTCACGAACCTGCTGACTTGCCGACTTGCCGCCTTTGAGGACGACGACGATGGTAGGCAACAAGCACAAGAATGGCATCATCTGCACGTTCCCGAATTGCAACAAGCCCATGCGCACTCAGAAGTTCAAGATGCACTTCACCAGGGCGCACTTGAAGGATGG